GGAAAGAGGACATCTGAGAAGCAAAGAGGGCTCGAAGGGAAGGCAGTAATGAGGATTACCTGGACATACAGACATTGAGAAATTAATTCACTCCCAGTCCCAGACGTGTGTTTAGGGTAAAATTCACTTTATGTAAGAGCTTTCTCCTCTCCTGTCTCTCCACACAACCTTATGCAGATGATTTAACCCTCCCCTTTTGATAGCCTCACTGCTGACCTCTATGCTAGGCATAATCCTATTCTTATTTTTGATGGCGGTCTGCAATTAAGAGATGCCACATGCATTTTATGCATTACAAATGCAGCCATACACGTTCATCTGTGTACATAGAATAGGGCCGAATCAAACAACAGAAAAAGAACCACTTTTAATATAGTCTGAGACACTTCATCTCATGTTACCAATTTGCACAATATCCATTAAGGAACTTCTTTTAGCAGTTCACGTAATCTAGTGGAAAGAGAATTCAGATACGAAATTCAGCAATTCAACGCTATGGTTAAAGCTGTTGCTGAATAAGAATCTTATTGCAAGGAGTCTACAAAGCAGAATCCTCATCACCTTTCCCCAGGGTAGTCATTGTCACCCAGCTACACAGAAACCGAGCTCCTCATTCTAGTTTATGTAGCCATTATATTCTCTTAAATATCTGGCTGACATTTCCAAATAGCTTAACCAGATGAAGTGAAAAAAACACTTTGGATTTAAGATGTCTTTTTGGTAAGTATTAATATGAGGGAGAATTTCCTGCATGTTAATTGACATATATAATTAACTCTACAAAGTGACTGTTGGCAGATGATGGGATTCTTGTGACACGACTGGGCTAGTTGCACTCTGGTTTGTAGATGTACTTGCTAGTTACAGAAGAGAAGATTCACGGGAACAAAACAGTATTTACTTAATTTATAACAATACCTACAGCGTTCCCATCAAAACATTCTATTCTCATTTAACATAAAGGTTCTGGGCAGCACTTCAGAAATCTCTGCAGAACACTCACATGTACTGTATTAGTCACTTTTAACCTGTCTAAACCATAATACTCGCTAGAAAATTCCATCCAGGGGGAAAGAGAGTTTGGGCATTTGCTAGTGTTAGCAGTCATCACTGATGGCATTTGCCCTTGTGATTCATAGAAAGGCTGATTTTGGACAATATTTCCAGTTAAAACAGTGAGAGAGTTAAATTCTCTCAAGAGGTTAGGGCTAGATGGCAGCCTCGTAGCCAAACTGCTACAATTTTGAATACGTTTGCTGTACATTGATTCTGCAGTATCCGCAGGACATCTCCGGTGGTTTGAGGCAAGGTAATTAAGGTGCTGTTAAGAAATTCATTTTACTGTTTGTGACCCCTAGTTTTCAATTAACTTCATCTGCAGGCTTTCAGCATGAATCTGGCACCGTGTAGAAGAGACGTTGTAGCTGTTGAGTCAGTGACAGGCACATTTACTATCCTCTAAGGAGCCCTTGCCAGGCCAGACCATAATGGCACCAGGGGAGCCATTACAGCCCACGGGTCACTGCAGGCTCAGAAGTCTCTTAAATGCCAGCATCTGAGTGATGCTTCTGCGCTGTCTTAGCCCTGCCTGCTTATACTGCCAAGAAGCCATTCTCATCAACTTAATTACGTATTTTGAATTATGAATGTGAATTTCATGGGTTTTGAGCGTTTAATGGTAGACATTCTTTTCTAGAGATAATTAAATTTTTTGCCATTTTCTTTTAGGTAAATGTCTGAAACATGGCTGGTTTCCTTTTTGGTACCTTTAACTCTCTTATCCCTCTGCAGCCACGAGCAAAACAATGCAGTTGGGTTTGTTTTTAATGGATCATGTTCATTATAAATCGTTACATGAGGAAAACCTTGAAATATAAAAGCACAGAGTCACTAAGTGGTCCTTCAAAACACAAGAAACCATAAGCAAGGCAATTGTGTAGATTTGGATTTGTGGGGTTTGATTTGGGCTTCCTTTCCTTTTTGATCAGTTCAGGTATTCCTCAAGCCTCAGTCTGCACTGAATACTAACACATTGAATCTGTTCCTTCCTCACTCAAGGCTTAAGCTCAATCTAATTATTGGCACATGCCAATTTTGGCTGTTTTCAGGGGGTACAGAGAGAAGTAATTTACCTTTCCCCGCATTTTTAGTTAGATAATGTGATGATGTCAAAACAGAGGATTACAGCCCTTTTTTAAAGCATAAATTTTCCTTGCAAATAGTTTGTGTCTCTTTGATGCCCTAAGCAAGGAAGGCAGAAAGGCTAAGGCAAGATCAGAGATCAGCATCCAACCCTGCTGTGAAAGGGGTTATGAAAGCTTTGGATAAGCAATGAAAATATCGTTGACATAGTAGTAAGCCCTGTGTAATTCCAGCAATAGACATCTCTAGCTATAAATCCCAGACGCAACTGTCTCAATTTCAGGACTATTCCGACTTCTCTACAAAACCTGAGATTCATAACTCTACCCTGCTTTTTACTGAATTTTCACTGTAAGAGCTCCTGTACTTACATTTATGGCTCTTCAAGCAACGCGGGACTGTGGTGGAGTCCTGTCTCGGGCCTGACTCTGCTCTCACGCAGAGTTATTTTGCCTCTAGAGCAGCTCTCCCAATACCAGCAAGCAAGGGTGTGGTCTACAGGAAGAGCGAGAAATGGTCTGGATTTTGTTTCTCTCTCTCTCTCTCTCGTGAAAATAGGAAGGAAAAAGGAGAAATGCACCCATATTCCCTCCAGGCAGCCAGGGAATCTGCTGGATTTGTTGATCTGTTTATTTTAAAATAAATGATCTGTTTATTTTACAATAAAAACCCAAGCCACTTTCAGGGCATTACTCATTTCTGCCCGATGGCATGACGTGGTGTTACATGGTCTGTGTTAAGTCAAACAGTTTCAACTATTGCATACATCTGCTAATGAGTACAAAAGAGATCAGAAAATGGAGGAACCTGAAAAATGTATCCACTTACCCTCTGCTCTCCCAAACCCTTTTTCTTTAGGTCCCACTGGAAGGCTCTCAGTTATGGGAAACAGGGTACAGAGCATTGATCCTACGCACAGGATAAATGACAGAGACTACATGGGCTGGATGGATTTTGGACGCCGCAGTGCTGAAGAATACGAATACTCCTCCTAAAGAACAGCAAACTATAGCAACAGGAAAAAAAAAAAAAAATCACACTCCTATGTCTGTACAGAAAGAGAAAAATTAATTTGTTGTCCTGTTTGAATCAGTGTTTTAAAATATATCATGTATTTGATGTAAATTTGTCTGTAAGACTATACAATGCAATATATACATATGCAGAATTTTCCAGAAAATGTTTTCTTTCTTTTGTGGTTTCTCATACACTGATATTATATTAAAATGATTTCACTTATCCCTTCTTGTCCTGTCACCACATGTTGCTGGGTGTCTTACTATAAAGAGAGGCAGGAAAATGCCTTCATTCTGCAATGTAAGGATATTCCGTGTGCTGAGTAGTCAGACAAATGAGCCACTTTTTAGAGAAACCTTGTGATTTCCCAATAGCTGTGAACTCTAAGGGGAACTTGTCCAAATATAAACACAGCAGCACAATACTGCTAGAAAAGGCCAGCTATCTTCATGGTGACCCCTTTTGCAAAGGACCGAGTTACACACCAAGCCCACGTGTTTGTAGTGAGTAGTCAACAGCGCTAAAACTAAAAGAAAATGAGGAACGACACCAACATGTGGCTTATTTTTTTGATATTGTGAACTAAATGTGAAAGTTCTGCTGACAGCCGCAAATCATGGAATAAACAGAGCATTCCCTGCCGTGTGGTGAGCCAAGCGTTCATTCGGGGAGGGGGCAAGGAAAGTTCCCTGAACGGAGCAGATGATGGTCCTGAGGGAAGGGGGAGGAGGTATCGGAGCAGTCCAGGCACGCTGTGCTAAAAGGAAACGAGTCGCTCACGAGTATCGCAGGGGCAGCCTGAGTCAGCTATCGCCCACCGGTGTGGGGAGAAGGAGGGAGACTATGCCCAGCCCTTACCTGGCACAGAGGGAGGCAGGGAGCCCCACGCTCGCAGCCGGGCAGCGATCCCTGCTTGTGCAAAGCCGGCACCCGGGGGACTCTGTCCAGCAAGTCCCCTCGGCAGGCTGCAAAGGGTGTTTCACCTGCACTCTCCTCCTTCCCCCCAGGTAACCCCTCCCGCGGCTCCTGGGTCTACCTCAGCGGATGGTTCTTACATCTAAGGAATTCCCTAAGCTGAAAAAAGAGGTGATTTTGCATTGCATAATTCATGGAATTTCTCGTGAATGTGTGCATTAATAAGAAAAGGAATGCATTTTTCACATGCTGAAAAGCAGGTGCTTGCCAAAGGAAAGAGGCAGGTGAATATCTCTGTAGCAATTTCTACAGCAGTTAATAGGCAAAAACAATGCATAGAAAATAATACACAGAAAAGATTTGTACTAAACCAAAATTCTACCCAAACCCAGAAGGTTGGGAAACAAAACAAAAAGGTTATGCCAAGGGCTGAACACAAAAACATTTTGAGGAGTTGTTCCCAGCAGCAGCTGGGAGAGCAGCCAGCACCGCAGAAATCTGCAAGGGAAGGGAGACTTTAGCAAATGGTAATGGGGAATTTTCTTTTCTAGTAACACCAAATCTCTCTTTTCGTGGATCTCATCTTGAAAACGTGGAACTGCTTTTCTGCATGAACTTCTCTTCCTCTCAAGCTCCTTCCAGTCAACCAGCTTCCAAGCCACCAAGTCTGACTTTTTTCGGTTCCTTTCCAAATGAGTCCCTAAACACCTGAATTTTCTCCTTAGTTTTGACTATGGCCCACAGGAGAACAGTCCAAAGTGCCCATTTTTCCAAAACTTTCAAACAAAAGATTAAAATCAATTAATCTATTTTTATTAAACTGAGGAAAACACAAATTAATCTAAAAATGCATAGATTAAAACATTTCCCACCAAAGTGATGTTTCTTTAAAAGTAACTTGGGAGAAAACTAAGTTTCTACTTTGCTGTCTTTTAAGTTAATGACAGGAATGTTCAAATAACATTTGAAAATGTTTCTATCCCTGGTTTATTTATGGAAGGATGTAATATTGTAATATTGCGGGGGGGGCTGGGGGTGGGTGATGTTCCAAATCTAGCCTTATTACTGAGGAATGTTGTCATTAGGAAAAAAAAAAAAAACCTTTTTTTTCTCCTCTCTCTCATTCCCTCCAGGCAGGGGAATGGAGGGACAAAGAGGTTTCCTCCCGTAACTCTCTCTCTTCTGAAGGTCTCTGAAGATGTCTCTGAAAGCGCGTGGCCCGCAGTGCAGCCGGGTGACGGTTTCGGGGGCTTCTACAGGTCGCTCCCCTGCTCCCCCAGGACAGGGGCAGCTTTTTGTTGCCTGCCACACACAAAATGGTTTCACCACCTGGCTGCTCACAAGGCTCCCAGCTAAGTGGAGCCCCACAGCCCCAAAGCTCCTGCTCATGGTCCCTGGGGGGACTGGGGGGGGGCTTCACTGCCCTTCCAGTTGTCAGGGTTGGACTTTCTGTATCCCCAACAGGTGAAGAATTGCCAAGGCACCATTCCCAGGCATAGAATAATGCAACCACCCCTCCCAAGCTACCACCACCATTGCCATTGACCAGCCATTTGTTCATTTTAAATCACAAAATGCCAATTACAGAAGAAGTAGTTTCACCTGCAAAATCTGCTTTCTCCTTGTGATACAACTGCAAGCAAAGTTTGTCTGTTTTTGGAAGTGATTAAGAGAAAGCGCTATTTTTCTTTGCCAGCCCACCGCCGTGACATTTGTAAGTAATCACATCTGCCACCTTTCCTGGATGCCAGAGAGCTTCAGAGAAAACTTGGTCTAATTTTTTTTACAGTCACTGCACATGCTGGTTTTAATATTTAAGCTGTACCAGTGCTGTAAAATAAACCAGGGGAATAAAGGGACTTGCGGTGGTGACTCACCTGGCATCCAAAGGAGGACTGAAAACATACATCATTTAACCTCATTTGTTTTTGCTGTCTCCGGACTGAAGACCTTAGGCAGTCAGTACAGGTAAGTGGGGGCCCTCTTCTGACTGGGCACTGAAATAACTATCAAATAAAAGCACGCTTTGCAGACGGCCTGATCCCGCCACTCTTTGCTGTGTTTGCAGATGCTTCTTGGGTCCACCCGTCCCTCAGCCTTTTAGCAGAAAACGGCTTCTTACTAAACCTCACCTGGATTTCAGGCAGGTGTTGAACTGTCCAGCCTTGACAAATCCGCGTGGAGACGCACCCCGAGGCAAGGCAAAGCTGCACCACCACAGCCCTGCTCAGGTGAGGCATCCCCACGGAGCGGGAGCCGGGGCTGGGAGCCGTTCCGGATTGCAAGTCAGGACCTACAGGCCTAAATTCTGCTAAAGCCCCTCTTTATCACCTAAAACCCAGCTCAGGACTAACATGGTTTTTCGGGTGCTGCAAAGATACAAACTTGTAGCTGCAGGGGACATCTCTTCTTCACTCTTAACACTCACAGGAGAACTGGTTTGGGGACAACTGTAGTAATCACTAAGGTAAGAGGAACTGTTGCTCCAGGCACAGCTCTGTTCCTGGAGGCAAGGGGGAGCCGGCTGTAAGCCACTCAGCAACGTCCTCCTTTTCCACAAAACATCAGTCACCTGCTCCTCTGGGAGCAGAAGAAATTTCCCAGATGGGAGAAGGTTGTAAAGGCTGCTGAGACACCGTTCAGCTCCCACCCGACCTGGAGTTGCTAATAGGAGTTAAACAGGGCAGAGAGCAAATTCGGGAAAGTCAGGCAACCCTGGTAGCTGCAATGCTCGTCCCAGGGCATCATCCAGCCTCGGGGATGGAGCCCCTGCAGCTGGGTACGAGACCCTCGAGCCCAGCAAAGGCTTTGGGCTGAGAAGTACCCTGCAGACTTCAGCACACGCAGCAGCGCATTGGCACAACCTCCTGGTGCTTGTCTGGAGGGGAGTTTCCCAGCACTGCCAACTCTCCGACATTTAATTTAGCTCTATTCAAATGCATCTTTATGGAAGCACGTGCATAGCGGCTAAATTAACACTGGCAAAATAGCAAATCAATACCTTTTTGCATTGAAAGACAGTTTGTTTTCTCTGTGCGCTTGATTCAATTAGTTCTGCTGCAGCTTTATTAGCTTAATTTCAAAGCAGGTGCTGGGCAAATCCTCACGAACAGAGCAGCTTACTGCAAACTCCGTGTCAGTGAGCGGGGAAGAGCCTGTGGCTCTGCCCTTGCAGGGCCACGCATACGGCAGCTGTGAAAAGAGGGTAGAAGCGGCAAGCGCTTCTCCCGGGAGTGAGGGGAAATCCAAGCAGCCCCCCCAGAGCGAGGCAGCTCGGAAGAGAAAGCTCAGCTACGTCAACGCACCTGATCCCGACCAGTCTCATCTGCCCCGGCATTTCATATGCTTTAAACGAAAAGTGCTAAAAACAAAAAAGCAGCATGCAGATCACAGAGCCCAGTGCTCGGCTATTCGGAGACACTGGAGCTGATACTGGATGTCCGAGGTGAATTTGCCTGCCTGCCCGTTGCACCGCAGTCTCCTCTCACGGCAACATGCGCTGCGTTTCAGGAACGCGTGTGGGTCCTGCCCTGCTCTCCCAGGCTTTGCTGCACCACCGGCCCCTCCGTCCTCGCTGCACGTGGGGCAGCAGCCAGGCTGGGCCGGGGACACGCCGCAGCCAGATGTTCCCAGCTGCTGCCCAGCTCTGCGCGTTTCAGCGAGCTCCAGCAGCCCGAGTTCAAACCAGGCAGTCCCTCTCCACGGCCTGAGCGGAGGAATTTGCAAGTCAGACAAAATGCGAATGTTATAATGTCCTAGCAGTGCAGTGAAAGGCTTTTCTGTGTGTTTGATTTTTTGTATCCCCTGAGTTCATTAAAATTCTCTTAAAGAAAGAAAAAAATCTGGCTGTGGGCTTGTTAAAGCTTTAATCATTCCTAAGTGCCTGTGTCAATTGAACAGCAAT